GTACTCCTGTCTGAGCTTGTACCTGGGTTCACTTGTCTGAGCTTGTACCTGGGTTCCCCTGTCTGCCTGTCCCCAGCCCCAGTGCTGAACTTCTGTGTGCGATTTGACGGGCTCTGGGCCGGTCGGGTTGCGGTACCTGAGTGGAGCGGCGGGTCCGCCGGGCGTCTCTGGACTTGGCCCTTCTTTGAGCCTCAGCCTCCTCGTCCCGCACTGGCGTCAGGTAGGACCTGCACAGCACCAACAGAACCGAGCTCAGAGCGTAGCACAGGGGAGCCGCGGAGGGCACACCACGAGGTCACTTCCTGCCCACCTCACCTGCGCCTCTCTTTGGCCTCGCCCTGGCCTGCTGTTGTGGTGCTTGTGGTTGAGGTTGTTGTTATGGGAACAGGCTCCTTCTTGTCTGCCTGTTCAAGTACCAGTCTAGAGGAGTGGAGGAACATGGGAAACACTGGTTAGAAAGCGCCCTAAGTTTTACAGTTACCAAGTGACGAGTGGAGTTAGCAACATCACATGCATTAGCCCAATACAGCATATGGAGCAATGGAAGGGGAGAGGCTGGATCGCATAGCGCCCTCTGGCTGCTGGAAGACCTAACACAACACAGGCAGCCTGGGAGCTCTGGGAGATCTGGGAACATGTTGGCTGTAGTCAGACAGGAGTACGGGTGAGCTCAGACAGGAGTACAGGTGAGCTCAGACAAGTGAACCCAGGTACAAGCTCAGACAGGAGTACAGGTGAGCTCAGACAAGTGAACCCAGGTACAAGCTCAGACAGGTGTACGGGTGAGCTCAGACAGGAGTACAGGTGAGCTCAGACAGTCCGGTACCTCTGTGCCAAGAGGCTGTTCGGGCGGTTGAGGGTGGAAGAGGAAGTTGCCGTGGTCACGGAGGTTGCCGTGGAGACGTCTGGTCTGCGCCCAAAGGAGGAGCTGAGGGAAGAGCAGAAGATCAGCACAGCCCAGCCACACCCTGACCTGCCACAGGTGCACAGCACAGGTGCACGCCCACACCGATGTGAACCAATCCTGTCCTCTGCAGAAAAGCTGGAAGCCGCAGGTTATGACTTTCCAGTCCAATTTAGCTCCACAATAATCCAGCCCAGTTAAGCCCTCAGCAAGCCTGTCTTGTCAAACCAAGCTCAGCCCCAACCCAGCTTAGACCAGACCACTTTAGGACAGCTCAGCCCCAGTCCAGTCCAGAGTATGTCCACTCAGTCTATCACAGAGCCCACTTAAGGTCAGACCCAACCAGTTGAGCCCAGTTCATCCCCAGTCCAGTCCTGACTAGGTCTACTCAGTCCAGCATAGAACCCAGTTCAGCTCAGACCCGACCAGTCGAGCCCATGCCCCATGGACTGACCTGCGTGGCACGGCGGGGGAGGAGTCGCTCCCGGATTGGCTGTGGAGGCGTCGCGTGTACGAGGAGCTCCGGGCCAGCGAACCGCTGAAGGAGGGAGAGAAGGGATACACCCCCGATCAGAAACACGCCAGGGACAAAACCACAGCGCAGTGGCGCCCCCTGTCCAGCTCACCTGCTCGGGGCATCCTGGCTGCTGTCCGAGACACTGAAGAGACGGCGGGCGGGCGTGGGGGGAACACGAGCCAGCCTGGGCTCCTGCAGAGGCAAAAACAGCTGTTTCCGAAGAGCCCAGAGCAATCGCACTCAAGTGTCAGACAGGTGTGTT